CCCCCCCCCCCCCCAAAAAAAAAACAAATATTGATGATTATGTAAAGCTTTTACATATTAACCATACCAATTTTGTAAAGTAGATTACAAGTTAGCAGTGTGGTACACCTCTGCATTTCCCATGTGTTTTTACTAGCAATAGTTGCAATTGAAACTGCAACGTGCACAGGTAAATGTAGGGTTTCTGAATAAGGGTTACGTGGTCGATTTCTGTGGAGTAAATGTTCTTACTTTCTTTCTTCCCATACATACCTTTCCTTGTTACTGTTATTTCAGATAACGCTAAGATAAAATTTCTCCAAAGAGCCTATTTACTCAATTTACTGAACTTCTGTGGAGTACATGGCCATGTCCAGTGTGGTAGCCTCTCATCCTTTCATTTGGATTAAACCCTGATCAAGAAGGGATATGCACATTCTAATCAGGTTTAGCCCCCACTAGGATAATAATTCAAAGCTGACTGCAGCAAATACACCTGGGAAGCATATACTTCAGATTGAAAGTAGTCTCATTAGACTCAAAACTACCAGATTCACATCACAAAGGAAGCTTTTTGAAAGTGCATCTGTAGGGGTTTTTTTAATGTATCCATTATGCACATTTAAAGAGTTTGGGCTAACAAACTAGATGATTGTTTACTTTAGGGAAATGCAAGTTATTTCTATGCTTAGGATAGCATGTATAACAAAAATATAAGTGCTTCCTTTCAGACCAATACATTGAATGTTGAGCCTTTGGGAGACTTATCCTGTGAACTACCAGGCATAAACTCTGCCACCTTTAGTGTCCCATCGACTTGAATGATGATATGCGCAGTTATAAGCACTTGTGGCTGAGGGCAGTTCTAGACTGGTTTCTAGTTTAGTACGAAAGAAGCAAAAGCTCTGTAGAATAGTTAGTGTATTTTAAACAGTCATTCTAAACAGACTAGATCTAAAGTATAGTTTTGTTCCTATGTTTCCCTCTAAAAGTTATATTAAAACTATTAGTAGTGAGAAAAAAATATTTCCTATAGGTTCATGTAAGGTATATTAGACAGACAGGGAAATTAATTTAACTGCATGTAGTTATTTAGCTATAGTTTTATAAAAAAACATATTTTTATTAGTACCACCACACAGAGCCCCAATACACGTGACATTTTTGTAGCAATTAATGTGTTAATTCCAGGGTCTCATCTCTGCCCCAGTGCAGTCCTGCATAAATAGCAAAGGTGCTACAATCAGCTGATTTTTGGCCCTGGCTCTGGGATCATGATCCTTGGCTGCTCCTACACTGGCAAGTAGAAAAGGCACATTGAGATCTAATCCCTGATTCCATCATGCCTCAGAGGTGCAGCTGTTGAGATCAGGACTCAGATTCCATGGTGCCTTTTAAATGATTGTGCGCCAGGTGCCTGAGAAACCAAATGTTTCTGGGAATCACATTATTCGTGTGTGGAGAGGGAGCAAAGGCAAGAAATGGGGAGAGTGGGGGATAGCATTAGAAAAAGTAACTGGAAAAAAGGAGCAGAGCTCAGGCAAATAGAAATTAGCGAGTGGAATTTTTGGCCCCGCTACTGTCAGTGAGGTTCTGCCAAGACATCAGTGGGGCCAGACTTTCACATATTGGAACCGCCCTGGGGAAGGATGAAAGAAGGGTAGAGAAGAAAGTGCTAATGATGAAACAAGCACAATATGCTGAACAGTATTTAACATATTAACATTATGTGTCTGCTTACTGACCTGGTCTATCTTTGGGCAAGGGGGATTCTATTCCTTATACAAGATGCAAGCGTTGGTTCAGCTAGAAAGAAAAATTGCTTGTCTGTTTTAACTTTAGAAGTTAGAAAGGAACACAGATTCAGATTTTGAACACTTTTTGTGAATTCCAAATATTTTTAACTATCCCTTAAATTAATATAGTGTACATATTCCAAATATTATAACTTTTCTTTTTCTTTATAAAAACAACCCAGAATAAGCCACACGTGAAAAGTAGCAAATATCAGACCTTACCTGGGAAGCTGCTTCGACCCACACCTAATGGAGATCATGGAGTTTACAATACATCCGCTTCCCCAAACGTATTTGGAATGAATGATAATGACGACAGCAGCACAATGAGCCTGAGTAAGTATTCAGACTTCCCTGAGAAGGGAGATGGAATAATTGTGTATAATCATTGTGGCACCAGCTAAATTGGTAGTTCTTAACCCTTTTAGCCTCAAGGCATCTCTCCAATCTTTTTTGAGTGTAGATCTTCTCGGCCTCTTGTGGGCTAAGATCAAATATAGCTCATAGATTCTCTGCTGGGCACCCACAAAATTCAGAATTTACAGAGGGGTGCCTCGAAGCTAAAAAGGTTGAAAACCACTGGTCTAGCCAACAGAAATAGAACTGCTTGCTTCAGGCAAAACTCTTGATCATCTGTACCGTTATCAGTATAACTCATGGATTTCTATAAGAAAAAATTATTTTGTAGAGGCAGAAAAGACCCAGTAGATTTAAAAGCTGACATAAATTATGATTTCATTTCCCTTCAAGTTGTTTGTTTTCTTAGCAATGCACTTTGTGTATTAAAGTACCACGGTAAGCATATGGTGGGCATGTCTACATGAGACACCACTATGCAGTGGTTATTGTGCATTTATTTAGTACTTGTATAATCAAGTATTAAATAAATATACCGTAACCAGAGTTATGGCTCAGTAGCACCAGTGAACACCATTTTAGTGATGCTACTGTGCCATAGCCTAATAGTACTGTGCAGTAGTATATTAGCACTGTTTGGGACATGCTACTGCAAAATATTATTCGGCTACTGTGCAGTTAACATCTCATGTAGCCATGTCCACTGGCATTCAGAGAGGGTTTTAAAGCAAGGTAAGTTAAGTGCCTCATGGTCCTCTGTTCCTTTGAAAATCCTGTCTTTAATCAGTTAAGTCCCTGTTCCATCATTTGAAAAAATATATTATCTTCACAGTGGAGCAAGCCACCTTTCAGAATTCCCATGAGAAAAGTTCAGTAATGTGACATGATTCTCACATTTTTAAACAACCCTAGTTAATATGCATTAGTGCATTATTGCAAAAGACTGCCAGAGCTAAGAGGAAGCATTTCAGATGTAAAATGTTAGTTTGAATACAAAAAGGTGTCCCTCATGATCGCATGTTCATGTTTCAGTGAATCTCTGCACTGTACTGTGAGGTCTATATTAGTTTTGCTCATACCTGAAGGATGGTGGTACTAGAATTAGTAGTTTTAGGAAGATTGTTCTTGTGTTTCTAAAAGATCATGACCCCATAAATGTACTGCATTGAAAGAGTAAATATTTGTGTTAAAATGTTTCAAGTATGCTCTAAAATTATTAAAATAATTATGGCTTGCTCCCTTTTTTTTTTTTTTTTTCAATTATTCCCAGTCAGCAAAACAGTTAGCAGGGGTTAGCAGCACGTTCATTGGTCAAGGCTTATTTTCTTTAAATAAATATTTATTGTGTAGTTGCTTTTGGTCTTTTTGTTTGTTTTTAGTCATTGCATTTTTCATTTCCCCATTTAAAAAAAAATTCCATGTAGATTTGGAGTTTGTTCCTTTTGAATTTTTTGTTTTTAAGTCTGAAGCTGTACATGATTGTCATCATGTTAAAATTGACTGGAAAGATGTAAATATATATTAATAAAAAAGGTCCTCACTATCTATTTTCATATAGACAACTTGCTTAGAGCTTTTCTGGGTTCCCCACGTGCCAGTTTTAAAGCTGACGCAGCTGTATTTGTAGTGTAACTTTGCTTCCTGTCATTTTTCTGTCTTTGATGCTTTGTTCATTCTTTTGCTTTTCTATAACTTTATTTTGCTGGTATTTTCCATCATCTTTGCTTCTTCATCTGGCTTTCTGCTTTTTGGAATTACTGAAGATCGCATCAGGAGTGTCAGTGCACCAGTATTAGGTATTGTATCCCATCAAGATACAACTATATCCTCACTGTGAATTTAATTTCTTTGCTTTCTCTCTTTTTATTACTATTTAAAAATATTACTTGCAGCTGGGGCATCCCAATCAAATTAGCTGAATGTCATCCTAAAACAAGAGACAGTTTTCCTTCCAAAGTTTTAACATGTGATTTTTTCAAAACTTTTCAACATTGCCCTCATTAAGTTTCCATTCCAAAAGTAAAGTTCCCATTAATTTTAAGAGAGGTGCATTAAACCAGTGATGAGAGCTTTTGAAAAATCCTATTTTAATAGAACAAAAATTGCTAATAAATCCCTGAAACAAAGTTTGTAAAATAAATTTGCCTTTTAATTGCTTTGTTTCATCAGCTGTTCTTGTGACAGCCCCATGGTTCAGAACCCCACTGTAGCTGCATACACTCATTAAAATAAAGTGGGAGAATTCTCTCAGTTTGTTCTCCTCGTACAGAAACTTAACAAGAGCCACGTGGGCAGACATTTGAATACTGAGGCCCTGAAGAATAGAGAGCTTGAAGTGCTGACACTTTGCAGCCACAGGGAGAGAGAGAGAAGTCCTATGCATACATCTCAGCATGTTCTGCAAGCTCCCTTACTCTGCCTGTGACAAAGTGCATAGAGCAGCCCTGATTGCCTGACCCAGACTGCCCATGGTCATCCTGTTTCCCTGCAATACAATGTGGAGATTGTGAAAGGGGCATAGGACATGTTCTGCTCTCTGCTGGGGCAGCAGAATCCAGCAAGTGAAACATTGTCTCCCTGGGAGGGGAGGGTGGATGATGAAGGATGTTGTTCTCTTTTGAGAGAAGCTACAACATGTACAGGCATTCATTCCCCCAGGAGAAGTTGTGCAAGGAATGATTTAACCCTGGTTGCTGCCAGGTTATTTTTCTCCTGGAGCGGCCATTTTTACTCTAAGTGAAAAGGCCTGTACGCTCATGGTGTCTCCTGGGAGAGTAGCAATTCTCCCAGAAGAAACTGTCTGTCTGTACAAGGATGTCACTCTACAAATATACAACAGTAATTAGCTCCCTTCCCCCTGAAGCTTATAACAAAAGATTGCTTTCCTGTGCTTGAGCTCTCATTCCACTGTGACTTCCATCCACAGGGAGTGGAATCTCTCATTCAAAATCCACAATGTAAATCTCAGAGGGGAATTGTGTCCTTAGTTCCGAAGTGCAAGTGAATGTCTGAGTGCAAGTAGCAGTGCAAGTTTGAGAGTCTTACCAAAGTGATTTGAGAAGTACATCAAAGTAAGCATTAACTGTACACAGAAACACACTCCCAAGTAGGGATTAGTCCCAGTGTCTACACAAGTTGGTCAATCACTTCCCTATCTAGGAAGGATCTAGAAAAGAATTACAAGGGTTAACTGCAACAAATATTGGTCCTGGTTTACTCTCTTCTTTTGTTGTTGTATTTCAAGGATCAAGAGCAAGGAGAATTATAAATAAGTTAGCATTTAGTATGCAGTCTAGTATCTCCTGGTTTCACTAATCTACAAGGATTCTCTGTTATGCAGCTTTTCTGTGGTATGTCATGGTTTCTTATAGTGTTTGACAAATCAAGATTTCATAGTTATCATAAC